CCCCGTAATATTTTCCATCTGATGTTCCTTGTATCTCAGATGCAGAGCTTGTGGCTACAGAGGGCAGACTGTGTATTAACTGTCTTAAGTTCTTGACACTACCTTCAGGAAGTGTGAGCTTCAAGAATCTAAGCTTGACCTTCCTTTGTATGGATTCCTTACATTGGGGAATCACTGAGTTTAGTGCCTCACAAAAAAGTCTTCAAATTTTTCAAACTTTTCAGAATTGCAGATGAACTGAGTAATATAAGATCTTTATTTTGAATTGATCAGAAGAAAATTGAGGTAGAAATAAGACATGAAGGAAGGGGACAATTTGAACAGGTCACTAAAAATAGGCCATGTCTTACCCGGTCTGGGCTGAGTTTTAAAATGGAATTTCAGGGAGTCAGCAAAGCCCCACGAGTAGCAACCTTCCTGTGTGCCCATTCTAAGGAATGAGCATCGGAGAAGGGAATGTGCTAATTTTCTAGTGCCCCTGGATGCTAAATGGCGATATCTACATATCTTCCCCCATGCCAGGGTGTCACCTACCCAGCCTGTCATGGCATATGGAGCAAATGGGCCCCCCCTCTCGAGAGGAGTAGATTGGCCACCACCTCCTTTTGTGGTGAGTACTATGTGCTGATGTAGTTACAGTGCGTGAAAGTGTAGGAATGATCTGAATGAGAATTGAAAATTGGTAAAGCTCACCTGTAAAACCATTTGGGGAGTGTGCGTGCGTGCGTGTGTGTGTGTGCATGAGGAAAGGTTTGGGGCCCCCGTTTCAATTTCTTTAATTCTTATTGGCTTCCTTACATCCCCTGTTTCTTCTTGAGCTTTGTATTGTTTTAGTTCACCCGTATTATCGAGGTTTTCAAATCTGTTTATGAATGATTTTTTATCATAGTCTTTTAAATTTCATTTTTATTATAGTCTTATTATTTTGGAATCTTTGCTGTGTCTTGGGCAAGTTATATCTACTGGTGTATTCCTGTATTCCCGCCTAAAAATGTAGGCCTGGGTGTGCGTTTGGAGGTGTATGGGTGCGAGCGTGCATGCTCCCAAGGGTGCAAGCGTGTGCTTGTGCGAGCAAACCTAGGGGCATGAGGTAAAGTCAAGAACTGCTACGGGTTCCACTCACCTTGCCGCCCCCGCCTCCTAGGGTCCTACGCTGGGGCTGTGATCGCGATGCCGCTGGCGGGCATCCTGGTGCAGTACACGGGCTGGTCGTCCGTGTTCTACGTCTACGGTAGGCTGCGTGTCCGTACAGTAGAGTTTAAAGAACCGTGCAGAAGCTGGAAGAACAAACAGATCACTGCATATGCTTCTGTGTTTACTTACTGTTTTTTCCTTTTAAGAATTCTTTTCTTATATTCTGAGAAAACCAAGGGAAATGCTCTATATGATTTTTCCTACATTGTTATTTATCGTTTAAAAAGCACCCACGTTGCTGATGGAAACTTTGTCATGTATGACATATATCGCCCTTGATTATGAATTAAAAAAAATTAATTTAGATCTTGATTCAAAGCTGATTAAGAGGAAGGAGCTAGGCAGCCCCCACTTCTCTTCTTTGCTACTGTTTTCTTGGTCATTTCCCTGATCCTGCCTCCTCAGGACTGAGTAGGGTTAGAGAGCTGGGTGGCGATAGTCATGCTAATGAAACAATTCAATTTTGTAATGAATTATCTACTGTCACTTGCAGCAGCAGCAGCAGCGCATTTTAGTCTTCATTTCCTCTGAATTAAAGGACATGAAGCCCCCAAATGGAAACAAAAAATGACAAGAAAACCAAAGTTCAAACTCCCTGTTTACTTTCTAACTAGAAGCTGAAAGCTTACCCCTGGAAAGTACCCCCAAAGTCTCTCTCTTAGAGACACTTTTTTAATAACGAGGAGAGGAAACCTATAAGAGAGCTGGGTTCCAACTGATGCTGTCACTGATTAATACCATCTTGAACATGGGCATGAGAACCTGAAAGATTAATGAAGTCATGCGGTCGAGCAGAACAGTTATCTGGCTGCTTCCAAATTTGCCGTGATCCATTTCCATTTTGAAATGTCCTCATCAGAGCAAATCCTTATGTTTGTAAAATTTTATTCAATATAGTTTATAGGAGAGGCTCTTATCCTGGCTCTAAAGCCCTTTATGGCTTTCAGATTTGTGAGTGCTCTAAATTGTAAGCCGTACATGCATTTGTACATATTTTTTTTCTGGGGCGATCTTTTTATCAGATTTTAATCCATATCTTTCCTTAGATTTTCAAGAGTTCATAATTCAAGGAGGTATCATGCATTTATTTATAGGGCATGTAGCACAAGTTGGGATGGCCATCCATTAACTCCCCTGACTTGTGCCTTAGTCCATTACTTAATTGAAGACATGATGTGGCTTTAAAGTACCGAGACTAATTTCCACAAAGCATTTATGAAAACTAGTCTCATTATTTCGAGTTGTAATGTATTTTATGTCTATCACCGAATGGCACAAAGTTTAAATATGAGATAATATGAAGATATCACATCATAGGACTTGCTTACTTGCTGTGTGTAGCAAAAATTGGGTGTTTGAGCCACACATTTAATATTGATATTTTAAAGTGTAGTAAGATAAGACCTGCACAGTGACTAAAGTTTAAAAAAAATGATGCATACAGGGTGGGGCAATGGTAGGTTTACAGTTGTTCATGTGGAAAAAAATGCAATAATTAATAAATAATAATACGAGAATAAACTATGTATTTCGTGTACTCACAACTGTAAACCTCCTTTTGCTCCACCCTGTAAAAAGCAATTTGCTGGTTATCTGCCACTTTAGATGCATTCAGGGTGTGGTAATGGTAATTGTTTCTAAATCACAAGGGCTCCCATTTACTGAGTTCTTATTTTGAGCCCTCCACTGTGCTAGTTGCTTTGTGCATTATCTCCCTTAACTCTTCTTTGCCACAATCTCATAAAAAATGAATCATTACCTCATTTTATAGTAGAGGTTTAGAGAGATTCAGTTCCCGATCAGATTATGTGGCTAATGAACGACACATCCAGGATTTAAATCTGGGAAAGGCCATGTTCCGTAACCACTACCCTATACTGAATTTTCACTGTCTGACACAGAATCGTGTGTGCTGTCATGTTGAATAATTAAAAAAACAACATGGCACATCTGCAGCTATGGCATGAAGGAGCACCTCTTAGGGACTGAGCAAGCAGAAAAGAGAAAGTATTGTGGAGATCAGGGACATTCAGATTGTTACCCAAGGGAGAAAGAACAGTGTGAGGCAAAAGGGAAATGGCCAGCTGCTGGGAAACAAAACTAAATCACTTGAAATTCTTTGTATTATTAATGCTTCCAGATTTATAGCGCACAATAAGGGCATGTTCCAATGGTGAGAGTACTAAACAAAGAAGGGAATGAAAAGAACTTATAAACAGTTTATTGTACTGAATTTTACAACTTTCATCTGCCCCCCAAATGATCAATAGGCAATGGCATGTACTGAAAACAATATGGTAACGGTCACAAAAAGTGGGAAATGTGGCTACACTAATTACAGAAGCCTGTTTTTTAATGTTCAGTAGGCACTCAGGCTAAAATAGTTTTCTAGATTTTATTTAGCAGTCTGTTTGCTAGATCTGGACATGCCGTCAGGAGAGGTAATCAAGCATCTCTTTTCTCTGGGACGCTGACCACTCCCAAATATTCGGGACAGGCCAATCACAAAAGGATTGACCTCGTGCAATTCTGCGAGGACAGGAGCTTTGTCTCGCTCATCAGCTTGCTCTCAGCGGAGTCCCTGGGAAAGGAACCCTCAGTAAATACCTGTTGGATGCATGGATGTGTCCAAACCACGCCACTCGATATTTATTGTGAGTTCCTTGGGTATCAGCACCATTTAAAAAGACAACAGGATAAATACAGGACCAGCCTTCAGGAAGACTGACGCCTGTTGGCAAAAGACAAGAGGTGGCTCAAGCCAGTCGTAGAAACATACACTTGAATTTACGTTCTATAGAACGTGTTTGTCATGAGATTTCTGTATTCTGATTCCAGCAAATGACTGTTAACTAGAAGTATTTATAACGTTTTCTTTGACTTCCTCCTGTTCAACTCTTGCTTGCAGGAAGCTTTGGGATGGTCTGGTACATGTTTTGGCTTTTGGTGTCTTATGAGAGTCCTGCAAAGCATCCTACCATTACAGATGAAGAACGTAGGTACATAGAAGAAAGCATTGGAGAGAGTGCAAATCTTTTAGGTGCAATGGAAGTAAGAATTTTATTATGGTGTATATTTCTATTCTTAGTCTCCATCTCATCTCCCTTCAACCACCCAAATTGTTTTATGAGACCCCTTTCAACAAAATGAATTTTATATCAGTCATGATTGTTTTTTGTTACTCCATTCGCATCCCCTGACTGACTTAAGAATTATTGCTACTTCTTCCATCTGTAATTTTTGCCTTTACCCTTCTTAAGCATCTTCAGATTTGCCCTGCGTTATAGCCATGACTGTAAACCTAAGTGAGTTTTTCAAAACGGTTCAATATGGTCCATAATTTAAACAAATTCGACCAATAGTGAATTTTAGGTTGTAGGAAATGCCAAATCACCTAACACAATCACGGAAAAAGCTATTTTTTTGTTCACTGAGTAGTGTAAATGTAGGTTTTATACATGTGTACTTATGTGCGGTTTAATAAACACTAAAGCTAGCTGACGTGAAAAATATTCTTAATATAATAGAATCCTTTTATTGATCAAATGTTACCACTTTAAGGATTATTATTAAGATCGAGTATTATACAGATAATGTTGTAAAACCTTTTTTCTGATTATGGTTTGGCTTCTTGGCCAGGATCTGCCCATAGAGAGTGAGATGCAGTTCTGTGTCAATAATGCAAGTATTTTAGCCCAGGTGACATTAATATATCCTGAGTAGTAAGCAGTAGATAGACTCAGAAGGCAGCACGCACTGGCTGAGGAACCAGTGTCCCTCATCCACTGTGCTATCCTCCTTGTTTTAAAGGTTCCCCCCACATCCTAATTGCATTTTATCCCAGCTCTGCCTCATTCGTTAGGGAAAGCCCGTCTTCGACATCTCACTCTAGGTAAAAGGTCTGTCACCCCTTGTTGCTGAGGACATGTATCTTGACCTTTAATGAGTAAGAAAAATTCCACGTTGAATATTATTCAGAAGTTAAACCTCAGTACTTAAAAAAATAATCCTCACACGATGGTTGTTCCATGAGCAGAATAGACTGGCACCAGACCTTTCCCCTTCCTGTTTCCTTCTGTAAATGGTTTGATAATTTCTTTCTAATGGTGGCTACTCAAGAGACAGGTGGTGGGGGCGGGAGGGTGTTGGCAGTGGGCTCTGGTGCCCACCAGTCCTAGTTGCTGGGAGCAGAAGCTAAAAATAGGCTCACCCGAGATGAGTTCAGAATTTAGCTTCAATTTGTAGCCAAAAACAACCTGATCTGCCTGTATCTTCATTAGTTAATTGTGCTTTTTTAATTTACCCTTCTTGAGTTACTGCGTGTCTAGGTCACGCATAAGTTTTCTGAAATGAACCCAAAAGGAACAGCCAGTAGGGTGATAAAACAGCATAAATAATCTCAAAATCCCCATTTTCTATATCTTACTGTTTTTCTAAACATAATATTTTATGTCTTATTGATATTTTATACTTTAGCTTCAAAGTAAATTTTTCAAAATGAGATCAGGTGGGAATAGATCTTATATATTTTTCAACATTTTATATGCAACAAATTTAATATGCAAGAACAAATTTAATATGAACAAATTTAATATGCAAGAACAGTAACAGGAACGGCTACATACCCACTGCATAGATGCGTGTTCACATCTTGCCTTACGTATTTCACTTTTTTTCTTCTGTATAATTTCAAAGTAAATGAGATATCGTAAAACTTTATTCACGAATACCTCGTGTGTATTTCTAGAAAAATTAGATTAGAATATTCTCCTTTACAATCTAAGTGCTATTATCATACCTAACGCAATTAAAAAGAATTACCTAACACTATTGAATACCTAGATTTCTAATAGCCAGTCCAAATCCTATTACCTAGTCTATATTCATATATATTTTGTAGCTATTTGTTTTGAGTCTGGATCCAATTAAAGATCCCACACATTGCACCTGACTATAATGTCTCTAAGTCTCTCTCTTAAAAAATTGAATTAAATATAACATGCATACAGAAAAATGCACAAAATCATAAGCAAATAGCTTGCTGAAGTTTTATAAACTAAATACACCTGTGAAGAAGTAAAATGCTATCAAAATACCCTAAACCCTCCTTCAGGCCCCAATAATTTTTTAGGGTATAAAATTAGATACTTTTCTGTTACATTTGATGAAGTGTTTTGCAACCTGAAGAATAAAGTCCTTAGTGGAGAGGATCCTGGTGTAAATAAAAGAAATACCAGCCAAGCAAGCAAGAGTTATTTACTTATAATATTCTAAACTTGTTTCTTATACAAATATCTATAATGCAGATATTCCTTATTTATCCATTTTTATGATCAGCAAATAAGTATATTCATCTGGCACCATGGTCCCAGAGCATATTGAATTTAAGAAAACAAAAACAAACAAACAAACAAAAAGCCCTGCGCTTTTTGAACCCATCTATGATGCTGTCACTCGAAATTTTTATCCAAAGCCTTTGAACTCATTATATACTCTTAGGACAGGCTTTTGCATTGTTTTGATTCTTTTTTATATTATCTATATTTGTGATCACCACAGTACCTTTCTACTCTATTGCTTTTAAAGTGATCTTTAAAAGGATTTATTAGAATCACAATCAATGATGGGGTTTTATTATTAGAGATAATCACTAAATCTGTGCAAAAAATCTTTGCCCCCTCTTCTTAAATTTTTTCTTAAATTTATTGGGGTGACATTGGCTAATAAAATTAGATAGGCTTCAAGTGGACATTCTATAACACATCACCTGTGTACCGCCCCGTTGACCACCCAAGGGCAAACCTGCTCCCTCCACCCTTCACTG